AGAAAGGGCTGTGACTGAGTGCCGTTTCAACGGCACCACTGTTGAAATCATTAGGCATCAGGCCAAAGCTCCCCAGAGAAAGGGCTTGGATACACAGCAATGGCCGCGTTCCATAAGATGAAGTCCACACAGGGCTGTACTCTCAGGGTAGAGTCTCGTCTTAGCTGGGGATATGCTCGATGTTTAGATCTTCCTTTGATTTTTCTTAAGTGAATCCAATATCACCGTCTGGCGATATCATGGCGCATATTCTATTACGTGTGTGTGTGTGTGTGTGTGTGTGTGNTTTTTTTCTTATTCTCAATAAAATAAAAAAAAGGATATAAAAAAAATTCAGATGCTTTGTGAGGAAACAGTCATCAAAGCCGACACAGCTGTGAGTGCCCACTTCATGTGTGTGGAGGCCGGGGGTGGGGGATCACATCCCTGATTCTGAGCATGACTCACTGGACAAACTCTACTTAGTCTGTAGACCATGGCCTCACCATCCACCATCAGTGTGCACAGCATTCTTCAGCCAGCACATCGGCGCCACTTCATACTGACAGGAAACAAATTACAATTATTCCCTGAAGGGAGTCCATAGTTTCTTCAAGAAAAGGTTATATAACAGAAAATTACAGATCACATATAAATATATATATTTCATTATTATTATCCATATATATATATGGGCAATACATTTATATTCACTATCTGCAATCAGCAAGTTTGCGTTCTCTGGCTTTCTAATATGACTTTAGGCCTTCTGAACAGCACTCATCTCTTTTAACCAGGAGACAGCTTGGGGAAGGGAGATGAATGAGAACGTTATTGCACTTGGGACACATATTGTAAAATAACCATGCCTAAACACCCTGGGGTAAACACCTTGCACATCCATTTGGAAAGCTCACTAGGTGATGATAAAATACACCTGTTCTTGTTTGCTTTCTGTCGCTGACCCGAAAGACTGACCAAAAGCAACATGAGCAGGAAAGGGGTTTATTTGGCTTATTCTTTCCAGTCCACCAGGTAGGGAAGCCAAGGCAGGAACTCAGAGACAGGAAGGGAAGGAGAGGACACGGAGGCACCTCTGATTAATGGGTTGCTCTCCACAGATCTCTTGGTCTGCTTTCTCACAGAAGCCAGGACCATCTGCCCTGGAGCGGCACTACCCTTCACGTGTTGGACACTTCCACATTAACCATTAACCAATAAAATGCTGTGCAGATCTGCCCACAGGACAATCTGATAGAGGCAATTCCTCAACTGATGTCCCTCTTCCTAGGTGACTCTAGTTTGTGCAATGTTGAAAAAAAGGTAACCAGTACCACGGACCCCTTGTCAACTTAGCACACAAACCATCACTGTTCAGTCATAACCTTTCCTTTGCTGTCTGTCCCCAATATCTCATGTTAATATCACAACATAAAACACAATCCAGTTTTTTAAAAACCCATAGTCTAAATTTTTTAACAGTTTAAAAGTCTAAGTTCTCTGAATTATTAGGATCCAGTCTAGGGATTAATTATTAGGATCCAGTTAGGGCTCCTGCAAAATAAATTACATACTTTTTTAGTTCTAAAAGGGGGAAACAGCACAATTACACTCAGATCAAAGAAAAACCAAAGTCAAAAAGTGTAAAAAGCTCAGTCAGGTGTTTAGGACTCACTCTTGACCTTCTGGGGTCTAACAGGCTTGGATACCTCCATTTCTCTAGATTTGCTATCTGAAGTACACACACCTTGTCTTGTTGGCTCAAGTGGGTTTAATTCCACACTACTGCTATCCTTGGCAACCATCTCATCATCTCAGAATCTCCAGAACACGAATCTCCTCTGCAGCTGAGGAGATCCCTTCATCAGTAGTCTCCTGGTTTCTTAGGGTACCAAGCTTCAGTCGTTCTTTATTACACTTCCAATCCTTGGGGCTCCACTGCAGCCGAGGCTGTACCTTCACCAATGGTCTCCTGGCCTCTCCACAGGGAGTCTAACCCTGCATGGCTCCAAGTCTCAGCTACTCTGACTCCTTCACTCCTTCAAAACCAGTACTATGTGGGAGACTATTACACATTACCAAGTTCTAATACCGTGGCTCCCCCACTGGACCACAGCTTTTGTTTGCTGATCCTGGGAAAATACTTCCCATATTTCTCCTCGGTGATGTTGGTTCCTTATCATAGATGATTTCTCAATCCCCACTAACCAGCATTTTGATTGTTTCACTAAAGCAAAGGTTCCGCTGTATTCTGCAGACTTCAAGGACCCTCTCCATCAGCTTCCTGACTAATTGGATCCATAGGTTTGTACCATGTACCCAGCTCTTAGAATTTCTGTCTTTGAAATTTCCATTCAGTTTCCAAAGCTGGAAAATTTGCCTAAAAATATTTATACTAGGCTGGTATGTAGCACGCATTCTTCAGCTGTGGGAGCATGTGGCAAGCGAGATCAATGACTCCTTCCAGAACAATCCCATTTTAAACCACCATCAGTTAGTATTTGGTAGTTTGTGTTACGGGAAAGGCTAAGAAGAATGTGTGTGGCCCTTGTTTTCTTTAACTGTCATTTATGATATAACTAAGAGATTAAGAACAGTTAAGTCACCATACAAAGTAGGAAGAGATTCTAATTTTAAACATCAATCATTGTAGTAGGTGCTCTGAGAATGTGAAAGAAGTTGTGCCCAGTTCAAAGCCATGAGTCAGGCCATACTTTGGTCTGTGCCTAGGATTTGAGAAATTGATAGGAGATAGAAGGGCAACCAGAAGTAGCAGGTATTTTTGGGTAGGAATATTACATTAGGCAAGTGAATAAGGCATGGGCAGAGAAGTTCAGCCCTATCAAAGAAAGGGGTCATATGGACAGACCCCCAACAGGCTAAAGCCAGAATCTGGTTATCAGCATCAGAAGTCTAATACTGAACCTCCAGTTGTTGAAAAATCATCAAAGTTTTAAAGCAACAGACCTTGGGGAGAAGATAATTTAGAATGATGTTTTGGGAGTTATCATGTTCGCAAAACAAGGACCATCTGATTAACAGGAGACCAACCTGTACATTGCCACACCTCCAGGACTCAACTAGAAGTATTTTTAACTAAAGGTAACGTGAATGTTTACTGGGGTACCTGGGTCAAGACTATGTAAACAAAACCAAGGAAGGACACAGATGTGAATCCAGGGGTGACTGTTACTCAGAATGTGGTGCAGGAGGCGGCACCACCAGCAGCTGCCGACCTGTTAAAGACACAGAAAGAACCTCAGCTGCCTATCCACGTGCAAGGGACTCAGACTGCACCTTCAGAAGGTCCCTGGGCTACTGTTCCCGATACACATATGTGTTTAAAAATAAAACTATGATAATATCAGCGATAGAAGAGGCTACAATGTGCGACCAAAGAAGTTACTCGGACCAGGGAGAGAAAGCAGGTGATGTAGAATACACACTGCATCCAACCTGATTTCTGCTCAGACTCATGGACAATGTTGGAGTCCAGGCTCTTTGGAGATGGGGAACAAAGTCAAGGAGCAAATCCAGCTGCCAATCACAGCCTAGATGCACAATCCTGCCAAGAACAGCTACTACGTTTATGTATGGGAAGCAGTTCACAGATTGTATCTACTTAGCTGTGGGTTTTTTTTTCTCCTGGGATTTTATAAATATCCTACCCTCCTGATGATCCCATTTATTCTCTTTGTATCTACCCAGCTGCAGGAACTTAGGGTACGATTCCGCACCCCATTCATTCCCTCAGTCTTAATCATGCAATGTCAAAATACTTCTTTGGCTTAACTGAAAGACAAAACCTGAAAAAAGCAGATGCAACTCTAATTCAAAATAGAAAGGGCTGTGACTGAGTGCCGTTTCAACGGCACCACTGTTGAAATCATTAGGCATCAGGCCAAAGCTCCCCAGAGAAAGGGCTTGGATACACAGCAATGGCCGCGTTCCATAAGATGAAGTCCACACAGGGCTGTACTCTCAGGGTAGAGTCTCGTCTTAGCTGGGGATATGCTCGATGTTTAGATCTTCCTTTGATTTTTCTTAAGTGAATCCAATATCACCGTCTGGCGATATCATGGCGCATATTCTATTACGTGTGTGTGTGTGTGTGTGTGTGTGTGTGTGTCTGTGTCTGTGTGTGTGTGCTCACACTCATGTGTTGAAGTATATGTACGGGTTATGTACTTGTGCATGCATGTGGAGGCCAGAAATAGATGTCTGGCAGGTGACTCCCTCAATCACTTTTCACTTTTTTTTTTTTTTTTTGAAACAAGGTCTTTCATTCAACAGGGAACTCATCCGTCCATTCCGCCAGGCTGGTGGACTAACGGCTCCAGGATCAGCCTCCCCAGTGCTAGGATTGCGGAAGCACGCCGCCATACCCAGCTTTCCTCTGAATGCTGGGGGCCTGAGCTCAGATTACCCACTGAGCCTTCTGCCCAGCCCTTGTCTTTCGTTATCTTCAACAGCTTTATTAAGTACGGTTTCCCAGCCATGAAATTCACACGATACAAACAGAGGACACTTTCCCATATCCTCTGCTGGCAAGCAATGCCTCACTGAGATGCATACATTAATAGAATATAGCTATTTCTTAAGTAGCTAGGAATGTTGGACTTGGTTATTTTCCCCTTGATTAACATATCCAAAAATCTTAGTTTTTATTAGTGGAAAATATAACTTGATAAAATTCTGTCCACTCAATTCAAAATGTGGGAATAATGCAAATGCTATATTTCCAAGATGACTGGTTGGAAACACCATGGCAGGCCTTCAAATCTATTTCCTTGAAGCAACTGCATTAGGAAGAAAAGTTTATTTATTGTATCTACGCTGGAAATCCCAAACCCTTGCAAATTACTGTTCCCTTAGATTTTCCTGATCCATTGTTTTCCACCAGGTGTAATGCCTTATGAAGGCTGCTGGGGTCTGTCAACATCTGTTGTTTTTCAAGTCTGGGTTGGCATGAGGACTGAGGCAGGTTTTTCTTTTAAAAACTTAGGAAGAAATGAACTTACATGCTCTCGCAGAACCTGGTCAGGGTGCTTGGTTTTTCCTGGTTGCGTCTTTGTCGAAACCAGCGTTGAATGCTCCGAACATCCCAGTCCAGCTGCTTGGAGAGCCCTTCCAATCGCTTCTCATCAGGATGCTATGAAACAAGGCACCAGAAAAAAAACCATTTTTATCCATTTTTTTACTTACACCATTTACAAGTTTTAGGTTACATATGGTTGAATTTTCCCTCTAATTTCTACTGCAGGCATTTCAATATTTATGACTGAGAATCTAGTCCCATCCATTTGAAGCATGAACAAAGATAACACCTACATTACACATTATGAAACCAGACAGAAAAATAAGACTCTTGCCCCAATGCTTGCATATTTTCTTGTCGGCAATTACTTCTTATGAAGCAACCAGCGACTAAGAGAGGAAGAACCAGCCAGCTGGCTGAGTCAGTCCCATCAGACTTCAAGGGAAGAATTTACAGAGACATCAGGGAAGAATTTACAGAGACATCAACACATACTTCACCTTCTCAGAGGAAAAAAAAAGGAAGTACATTTTTACTTTATAAACAGATAATGCAAGAAGAACAAAAAGCACAGGAAATCGCACAGCCAAGATGTCATTTATAGCACCATGCACACAACCCCTTTCTCATCTTCTTCCCCCAGTCCTCACGTCCCTCACCTTTTCTTCCCTTGCCATCCCTTCTCACCACACCACACATCTTGTCTTACCAACACCACGTATTACCCAAGGGGCTTTCGTGCTGAAAGGACAATGGCGTAGACCCAGGTCCTCAGCCCACCAGCCATTCTGAGCCTTGGTCTCTGTCGCAGTACAAACAAGGGTGGTTTATCAACCCACAGGGGACTTTGATGAGGACTGGGAAAATATATGCTAAACCGAGTCCTTGTCACCTGTCTTCTTTCTCTTTCCCTCCTCTTTTCAACACGTTCAAGCCGACAGTCACGAGAGGGGGACCTACTGCGAATGAAACCGGCCAAGAAAACTCCCTTCCATGATGTATTGTTCACTGTAGTTCTCATGATCAGAGGAAATAACCAAAAGGAAGTAATGAGAAGACACACTGGCCAGGCTGTAACAGAATCTACGCATAGGACCTAAAAGTATCTCAGCAATTCAAGGGGCCTATGGCCCTGACAACTCATCTGTTAAAAATTCTCTTTTGAGTCAGGAGGTGAAACCTTTGGAGAAAGAGCAGGTCGCATGGGTGGAGATCTGAGTGAGATTTGATTGTTGTGACTGCAGCCTCCACTGCCTCCCTCCACCTCCCCCTTCCTTCACTCCTTCCCTCTCCCCGCCCCCCAAATGTACACTATGGGCACCCAGAGCTCACACTTCCACACTTCATAAACCTTTACAAACGTGAGAGTTAAATGTCTGCTGCTTAAGTCCCCGGTCTATGGCATTCTATCGTGGTGGCCTAAATCAACTAAGACAAACAAATAACCCAAAAGCAGAGCAAATGGTATCCAGTTACAAAGTGTTCTGATTTTGTGCCTATAAATGAGACTTGCCAACTTTCAGTTGGACATGTGTCTGAGTTCCTTTCAGTGGTAATAAGAGAATGCGCAATCTCCTTTTATGTCTTTCTTAATTGAAAATATGAGAGAGGAAGGGGGAGTTACTGCCTATAATATATATTGGTTATTTTACTAGCCTATAAAAACAAGTATTTGACAGTCTTATTATATTTATATTATATATACATATCTATATATATAAAACGTATTATGACTATATTCACCCCACTACCCTCTACTCTCTTCCTTACTTTGCCTCTGAATTCCTTGTTCCTAACTAGTCCCCCAAAGGCTATACCATTGAAGGAAACGACACTGTCTCCAGAAGTGACCATAAACAGGCAAGAACAACCCAGGAAGAAAGTAGGATGTGGAGACAAGAAAAAAAATCATTTTTTTTATTTCTGAGTTTACTAATAGTGAGAGAAAAAAATCTAAGGTTCACAAATCATAAATTAAAAACCACCTAATTCCAACACTGTCCCTGTTATCTCAATCCCCTTTCTTCCTTTGACAGGGAACCACGGTCAATCAATATTTTTTTGTGGCCAGGGTTATTTTGCATAAACAAAATTGAATACATATTCTCATACCCCACCCAATCACACAAATTATTGCAGACTGTGGACTTTGCTCTGGACTTGGGGTTTTTCCTTTATAATGTGTCTTGGGTGGCTTCCAAATCAGTTGAGAGAACACTGAAGTGTAAGGATAAACTCGAACTTTCTAGTCTCCTCTGCTAACTGACACTTCGGTAACACCCAGCATCTAGAAGCACAGCAACGATAAGCTTGGCGGGTTGTAGAGAATGATGGGATTCTTCTTGAAGCCAAAAATTGTAGGGCAAAGGGGTCTGTGCTTTTGCATTTTTTATATAGAAAATTTAATTAATTTGACTCTCAAAAAAATAGTAGTCATGTCCCAAGCCTCCAGGCATCTTCCTCTTTTCCAGTCTGAGATGAAAAGCAGATTCTCAGTGTAGTTTTGATTCTCCCTTTGTCATGAGAGAAATATCCTGTTCATATGTTTAGAACCATTCAGGCTTTGCTTCCAGGTGAAGAATAAACTTGTGTACTGTCTAGCTCCACCCCCTTTAACATTAATCTTTTCTAAACTTATTTGTAGGATTTCTTCATTTATTAGTGCAATTAAAGGTTTTTTTCTATTGTAAAGGTTTATTTTTAGCCAGTATACTATGTCTTAAAAGTACAAGTTTTTTTTAAAAATCTTTATTTTTTACTATTTACTAAAAATACATTTGAATTCACCAATCTGTTCTGCAATTATTACTAGAAATTATGATTAGAAACCTCTTCCAATAGTTTCAAGGTGCACTTTGAACATCTACTGGTATTCTGTGGGAAGCAGAAGGCTGGCCCTCTCCATGGCTACCCCGTGTCCATGGCTACCCTTCATCCTGGCAGCTCTCTGCACCTTCCCCTACGGAAATCTTGCCTTGCTTTTCCACAGGTCTATCAGCCACGTCTCAGTAATATATGCTAAATTTTTACCTACATAACAAGTATTAGGTTATTCATACCTAAAATTGGTATATATTTATTATATTATATCTAAAATTAATATAACATTTCTTAGTTAATGTAAACGTTAATTAATATATTTGTTGATGGCCTCCACGAGTATTTAAATGTCTTCTGCAAGTGCTTCCTGCACAAGGTTGTAATGTATACTCCTGTGGTGCTATCCTTTTCGGGATTTATTATAAATAATGACATTCTTTCTTATAATCTTTGAACTATTTCATAATTTACATAGAAAAAGCCATTTAATTCTGGTAATTTTGCCCCATACTTCTTTTCATCTCTGTATAGTCTCAATTATCTTAATTTTAAAGGTATACAATAACAGTCTGTTACCAGCAATACAAGCTCCATAAACATAAAATCTTTAATATTGTACCTATACTGTAAAATGACTTATAATTGCTTTTTGAATGAAAGAATATATAAGGAGAAAATTTCGCTTCCTCCTTTCTAATTTTAATGACTATCCCTCATATCTACTTGCTATCTCAAATACACATGAGCAACATGTGAAATCACCATTATTTCCTCCCCTCCCTTCGTCCTCCCCGCCCAACGCTGGTCAACAACATTATCTTTCTTAGAGTTTGCTTCTGCACTGCCAGCTCTGCCTCTACTGCTATTGGATTTGCCTGCATTGCTGATCAGCTGCCTCCCAGCTATGAAGTGGGTCTGCCTGCCATCAATAAGTTTCCCACCATCTTCTCCTGCTCAGTTCGAGTCAGTGGCACCCTTTTTATACTGTAAGAACATACACTGTTAAACATTCTGTTCCGACACCATCCCTCACAGTTCTTCCTCTCTTAGTTTTACAGTTTAAATATATTCAAAAAGCACAAACTTTCCCAGTAATCTTGTATAATCTTCTGGTTAGCTAAAATTAATGACAATCTTCTTAGGAAAGAAAAAAAAAAATGAGGACAAATTACAGAGAACCTGTCTACTATTTTATACAGGAATTATTTTATTATTTATGTGTGTGTGTGTGGTCTGTGTGTAAGAAGGAGAGAGAGAACGCATACATGTATGTTTTCATGTACATGAGCAAGGGCCTTCAGACCCCCACAGAGAACAAAGGATATTGGAATGCCCCAGAACTGGTGTCCCAAGTGTTTATGAGTAACTAACATGAGTCCTGGCAACTAAACTCTGGTCCTCTGGAAGAATAGCAAGCACTCCTAGCCTCTGAGCTACTTCAGCAGCTCCTGCCTTCCAACATATAACTAAACAGAGGAAAGGAGGCTCAGGACACCCTCGCTTGAGACTATAGTCATCCTACCCTTTCCTACTGCAAAGGCTCTCGAGAGGTAACAGAGCATAGAGGAAGTAAAGGGTTAATAGAAATCGGGACTCCACTGTTTAGTTTCCATGCAGCTACCATGATGTGATGGAACTCTGTAGTGATGCAACTATTGGTGTATCACGCGTATCGTGAGGAACACCTCTCCGGTGCTCTGTCGGAAGTCCAATAAAATCACAGGTCTCACCAAGAGACAAGGGCGAAATAGTACTTCTGTCGGATACTGGTGCCCATCTGAGGTCTATAAAGTGTTCTCGTGACTCTCCAGGAAAAAGTGATCCAACACTATGAAACACTGCTTCATAATTGCTGTATATTTTTACTCTTATAGTTTGAGAACTGATTTGATTTGGAAACTGAGGTAGCTGGTTTCACTGCTTTGGTAAGAAAATGCCCCCAAATTAAAAACAATACAATTAAAAATTAAAACAATACAAATTAAAAATCAAATAACAACATAAAAAGAGTCAAAAGACAAGCACTCAAAAACATTTACCAATTGGGGGCTGGAGAGAAGGCTCAGCAATTAAGAACACTGATTGTTCTTCCAGAGGTCCTGAGTTCATATTCCCAGTAACTATATGGTGGTTCACAACCACCTTAATAAAATCTGGTGCCAACTTCTAGCCTGCAGAGACACATGCAGGCATAACATTGTATACATAATAAATAAATCTTTATTTAAAATAAAAAACATTCACCGGCAAGAAATAATAATTTGGTACATTGAAATGGGCTCAGCAGTCAGTAACGGTGGGTCCTTTGGCGCCACCCCCAAACCTAGAATCCAAAGTTCTCAAAACACAAGGCAGCAGCAGAGCTTTCCCTCCTCATAGGAGTGAGGCCGCTAAAACGTGGAGACACTGGATGAAACAGATGGTGTGCCATTTACTAAACCATGTGTGTGTGGTGTTTTATTTAATCCTCATGAAAGCCTGTGAGTACATTATCTGAAGATGTCTAAGGCCTCCAAAAGTTAAGGCACTTGTTGGAGGCCCAACATTAGTAAGAAAAAGATACTGCTTCAACTTACAGACTTTCAGGGTCTGACTCAGGCAAATACCAGGAGTTTTAATTATTTCCTAATGGCGGTAGGTTCTCTATTGTGTTTAGAATGGAGTAGGTCTCCCTGTAGCGCAGGTGGAAGGCTCACAGTAGGATTTTAAATATGTTAGATTTCCCTGTAGGGCAGGGAAGGGAGGGACGGATAAAAGGCAGACAGCTGTTACCCCAGGAGAAGAAACTGATGAAGGATGCAATGACTTGTATCCATCTGGTGACGTCAGAGAGAAGAGTCGGGGAAGATGACTAATGCGGTCCCGTATAGCAGGGCCCTGCATTCAGAAGGGAATTTAATGTTCTATGGCTTACATCTTATCATTCTACATCACTTTTTAATGTAGTATAATGTGTTCTTGCTAGTAAAATCTAATGGCCAAAGGAGCATGCTACAGACACTTAAGAGTCTGGCCTCATACAGAGGCTTACACCCAAATAGGCACTCAATGCCCCTTCCCATCTCCTGCTCCAGGATCCACTTACTCCCTCTCTTCTGTTCCCTATCTACTTCTAGCTACTGCCTTTGGTTCCCCCAGAAGGGGCTTGAAACAACCAAGTACAGCAAGGAGATGTAAGATAGAGTTGGCTTCTCTCTGAAGTTTCTTGCTATGGGGCAGGGCAGCCACCTCTGTGCTTCCTGGGTGACTCAGCTAAGGGGAGCCTCTTGCCTACTTACAATCTTGTAGCAGGGGTTGGGATGCCCTTGGAGGTCACCTATCCATCACGAACTGGGGCAATGGACCTGGAGATAGGAGAAAGACCTATCTGAACTTTGTCCCCAGTGCCAAGGCACAGTGTGTTCAGCTGTAGCTAGAGGAAAGGAGACAATGACAGCCAGAATGCTATGTATGTATTCAGTGAGACAGGGTGCCCAGGCATTCCTGAGGCTCTGTTTGTTCCATCCATATCCCCCAGCCTACAGACATTACAGAACAACCTAAACACAGCCGGACAGGCCTGGGAATGTGGCTCTTGCCTTAGCATTTATAAAGGCCTGGATTTGAGCCTCAGTGTTGTAAGAAAAAATAATGAGACTAATAGGAGAGATATTTCACTTTAGTAAGGTAAACTACATGGAAAAGTGAGGTTCTTCTCTAAATATTTACTTCCTCTAATACCACAGGGTATGTGTCCCACGAGACTGAACTCAAAACTACAAATGAGCTTTCCCTAAAATTCCAATCATTCTCTTCCTTCTCCTTACAGAGACGTTAAACAAGATACCCAGTCGTTCCTCAAATTTTTCTAGCAAAAGTATCATTTTTTAAGGGGACAGAGAAAACGCCTGTAGACTTTTGGCAGGAGTGAAGGCAGCGAGGTAATCAAAAGTGTTTGGATACTTGAATTAACAGCTGCAAGCCATGAAACTAAGGGTGCTAATGGCTACCACCACAAACCAGAGAGAAACAGCATCGACTTAACACTGCCAAATCACACCTCATACACCTGTCTGGCCCTCCGGAAACCCGCAAGGGGTCAAAGGAACCGTTTGATCCAGAAGCGCACAGAACACCACATCCCTCCTGTTGGTGCTTTCTTTTCCAGTCAAGGGCAAGGAGAGACACATAGGGATTCTAGGGTCTGAGAGGAAAATGTGTGGGCTCCGTGTTGGCTTGTTTCCTTTAGCTGAGGTTCAGACTGAGTGTCCCCGATGTTTCTCTTCATCTTCTTCACGGTTAAATATGTACCAATCACTTGCCTCCTTCCTCCTCTGTTCTCTGGGTCTCATTTTTAGTTTAGACTTGCTTAACTCCCTTGATGCTGAATGTTTTCCCTCTTCACTTACTCCGCACTGTGAGCCTCTCTCCTAACTCTGCTGACCCAGTTCCTTTATTCCTTCACACAGCAAATCCTCAAACAAGGCCTTTCACTGTCGCTCACATTCGTCTATCACAACCCTAGAATGTTCGGGTGGTGCTTGCGCTCAGCCAAGAGGCTCCACTTCTCACACGTGTACGCGCCCCACTGTAAGCTTTGACTGGTCACTCCCTCCCAGCTCGTATCTGTATGCTTCACGTCACCCGAGGCTGAGAAAGGCGCTGGATTGGACTAACCTCTATCTAATCAAGACCTTTGCACAGAGAGCTTGTAAAATCAGCTGGAGCCAACCAAGAGGTCATGAAAGTCCTTTATCTGCTGTTTGCACTTTGGGTCCAATCATAACACCTACATTCTCTCTTAGGAGCCGCTGTCTGATAGGAGGAGAAATTGATCATCAGAACCCAGGAGAGACGGGATGGAATGACTGGACGCTAGGAGTGGAGGTGGAGAAAACCGGGTCCCTGGAAGACACTCCTACCTTTGTTATAGCATTGAAGACCTTTTCCAGAATGGCGTTTGGCTGGGCAATTTGTGGTCCATTGGCCTGGATGTTGAGGGCTATGGCACATGGTCTGGCTATAAATCTAAAGGTTTAAAAAGAAAGAGAAGAAGATAATTCAGAAATTATACTTTTTAATAACTGCTCTTAGTAGTATCACTTGTACATGACCAGGTCATCCTAATTAGATGCTTATAGGGTTTTATGGCGACATTCACATGGGTAAACTCTAAAGCAGCCCTCACTTAAGGCCACCAGATGTCACATTACAGAGAGAGGTTCTTTACAAACATTTAAATTCCTTGGCTGGGTATGGCAGCCCATGCTTTTAATCCCAGTACTTGGGAGGCAGGAAGATCTCTGTAAGCCTTGTCTGCATGGTGAGTTCCAAGACAGCTAAGGCTATGAAGAGAGACTCTGTCTCAAAACCAAACAACCAAAAAACAAAATGGCAAAAGAACATTTCAACTCTAATGAGAACTGGCAGCTCTGAGGAGACGCCACAGGTTAGTTATATGATTGCTTAAACCATAAGAAAGAAAAAGAAAACAGTCGTACTGGACTGAATCATAAGTGAACATGTGAGAGACATAAATACATAATGTACAGTCTTCTTACAAACACGTGCAGCCGTGTTATTATACCAGTGTGTCACTGAGCATCTGAGCTCCCATGGAGGGCGTCTGCTTTTCACCACTCTGGTGACAGATACAGCCATTCTGCCTCCATCATCAGTGATGTAGTACTGAGCCCTAATCCCTTTCAGTTTTAAAATTTCTTGCTTTGCGGGTCATCCTCCACCCTTGCTCCTTTCTCCTAGGAAGCAATGAAGAATGACAAATGGCATGCCATCCCAGACAAGCTCAAGGCTGAAGGGTTTAAATGCAGGAGTCGGACTGTTTTAATCCTAAGCGAATGCCGACGCCAAGATGAACAGGAAGGACGAGCCTCATTTCCCACGCTTGAACGAGGGTCTGAGAGGAATGTGTAGAGCACAGGGCCTGGCAGGACAGTGACAGGTCTAGAAAACCCGCATTAAAGGAGAAGTATTCACATCTTCAGAATGTTTTAGGCTAACTGTTCAAGAAATAAGTTCCCATAATACTTCAGCGGTGCTGCTGAGTGTCTGCCGCTAATTTAATATCATAGGAGAGCATTACTAAGATAATTCAATGGTTGCCACAGGCAACAGCCAATAAATGCATAAAACAGATCAGTAGTGAGCCTTAAATGAGGCTTACTTAGCAAAACCCCACAAGAGTTAAAGCACAGCAGCCACAGAACGGAGAGCAGTATGACAAAATGTTGACTAGAACCTATGTCATAAAGAAAGCACCCACATTGGAAACCACAAGCCTGAGCTAGGAGAGACGCACACCAAAGGGGCACCATCGTGCTTGTTACCCCCGGGTCTCGGGACAAAGGGGAAGAAGGAATTACTACCTTCCCATAATCTGTAAGTCTTTGGGAAACTGGACTACTCTTCAGAGCCTTGCATTCGTGGTCCCTTCCGATATGACACATTAGGAATGTGTCCTTCCAGACCTTGTTAGCAATGCCTTTCCCTTTTCCTAATAATTCCAGGTCTTCTCCATAACCACGTACCAAAAGCTGGAGCTCCCACTGGGAAAGACTCATCACTTAATGGGCCCTGACAACAGCCAAGTTCAGAACCTGTTTCTCCCGCTGTGCTTCCAACTTGCTGGCTAAAGTACTCTCACAATGCTTAGCAGAAGGTGTGAAAAGACACGCGTGCTGTGAAAAAAAAATAGGCTAAATGGGCAGACCCAACATGTAAGGGCTGAACCTCACCCTCCTGTGACTGGCTCCCGCTCTTCCTCACTGGATTTTTCCTCAGCCCTTGTTTTCCCTATTCCCACAACCTCAGACACACTGTGTTTAAACTCCTTAGGGATTCTGGCCCCACCATCTTTATAACAACCTGATAGTTAAATGCAAGGCATGATCACTTCCTCTTTATAATCTCAAGCATGGGATGGGATTCCTTTCCCAGGAAGGTCAACGTAATAACGAGCTGGCCGTGTCAACCCTAGCCAAGGTAAATCCCAAATTCTAGGAACTCAGGTGTGGTACATTAGAAGATGAAAGATGAGTTAAGAGAATTTAAGTCATTTAAATGAAGCCATTTAAAATGTAAATGGTCCATGGTGAGTGTACACAGTAAATCAAACCCCATGGATTTTTTTTTTTCAAGAAGCTACTGTGTCATTGGAAGCTCTTATTTATACAGACAGAATACTGTGAACAGTCAATGAGTGTTTGATGGATAAAAGGATGTGTGGTCAAGCCCAATGGGCTGTACGTTTTTAATTCCCTTGAATATCACATCAAGTCGGGGTCATCTAGTACTCGGAGGTTAGGAGACTGGCTGTTCCAGTACCAGAAACCATTTTCTCAATTCTCAATACCCCTATGCCATCAACCTTTCTTTCCCTCAAGAAGCACTTGGGTAGGCTCTTTCAATCCATATAATTGTTTTTGTTTCTGTGTTGTTTTCTCAACAACTTGACCAGCACAGAAAAGCAATCCTTAAATTTCAAGACAAACAGGAAAAGTTAATCCCCAATACTCAACAAGAAAAAGAACAGTTAACTTGATTGCTCATCGATATCTCCAGCAAGAGGATGATGTAGAAATTTCATTTGCGTTTATTCTCTGAAGAATTTGTGAATCATCTCCAGTACTTTTTTTTTCGGAGAACATATTAAATTCCAAATAAAGCCCATGTCACAGCTACTACAATTTTATTACTTTCTGTCACAGTCCATTAGAGGAAAAAATGTTGTTTCTAATGATAGAGCAAAGAGAAGTAGTGCACAGAACACTTTCACAGTGGTGGAGGGATGGAGGGAGAAGGATACGAAGGAGGAAGGAGAAAAGGAGGGAAGGGAGGGAGGAAGAAGGGAGGGAGGAAAATAGAGAAGTAAGGAGGGGAGAGAGAGAAGGAGGGAGGGGAAGTTAAAATAGGGAGAGAGGGGAGAGAGAGGAGCAGAAGGAGAGAGAGGAGGAGGGAAGGGGAGAGAAATACATGGATGGCAATGGCCAACACAGCTGAGACTACAGCAGTGGGAAGGATCATGGGCTCACAAGTTTGATGATTACCTCCACCAGGAAGTGCTCACCTAAACTTCTATTTTATCAAAGGCTGAAATATCACCTTCCAAAGATCAAACATCTATAAAACACTTTCACGTACTATAGTTGAAAGTAAATATAATAAGGATGTAAGCTTTGAAAAACACTGGTCTTGGCCAAGAAGCTGGGGAAATATTTTTCAATGCATTTGAACAGCATGTATTTGTATTCTAAGCGTGAATTAATCATCCCAGAAGGAAGGAATCATGAGCCGGGCCTTCATAAAACGTATACATAAAACATGAAAGTGATCTCTGTATTCAAAAAATTCAGAAAAGGAGATTATTGAAAGACAGGTATAGGATTTATGACATTGCTCTAATTGCTTAAAATATTTTATTATTTTTGATGAGTTGCAGGGCCAAAGACTGTTAGTCCTTTCCAATACTTGCATTCCCAACCCTTTTAAAAATACTTGGGAGCCTGTGATGGTAAATATGTAACCATCTACATGTTAATAAAATTGTATGGAATTAACTCTCTCTCTCTCTCTCTCTCTCTCTCTCTCTCTCTCTCACACACACACACACACACACACACACCACTGGAGAAATCTCAATGAATGCATTAAATTGTACTGGTATTTGCTATCCTGGTTGTGATGCTGTATACTGTTTTATAAAATCTTATCATTGTGTCTCTGTGAGATCTGGCTATACTAATTGTGGGATCTGGCTATACTAACTGTGGGATCTGGCTATACTAACTGTGGGATCTGGCTATACTAATTGTGGGATCTGGCTATACTAACTGTGGGATCTGGCTATACTAACTGTGGGATCTGGCTATACCAATTGTCTTAGTTATGGTTTCTAGTGCAGTGTTAAATCACTATGACCAAAAGAACCTTGGGGAGGAAAGGGTCTATTTCATCAGCCTGCAACTCTCTGGTCATACTTCATCACTGAGGGAAGGAAGTCAGCTCCAGAACCTGGAGACAGGAGCTGATCCTCAGGCTGGGTCCGACTGTTTTCCTATCTACCCCAGGACCATCTACCTGCCCGTGGCACTGTCCCCAGTGAGTTAGTGCCTCCCACATCAATCATTAAGCAAGTAAATCCCTAAAGGCTTGCCTATAAGCCAATCACATTGAGGAATTTTCTCAATTAAGATTTCCTGCTTCCCAGCCATTTCAGAGTTCAAGTTAAGTCGACGAAAACCAGTCGGCACACCAATATGACAAACCAATATGAACAGATGACTTTCTGGATGGAGATTTTAATGGAAAAAGGAAAGCACTGGAAGGCACACTCTGTGACTAATGTGTTTGAGGAACAAGAGCCTGACGGACCTTCTGTCTCTAGTCTCTGTACAACTCACCAACCCCTTCCAGTACTCTCTCCCCAAAGACCAAACAAAAGCAAAACCAACACCCAAGGGCTCTAGAGAGAGAATGAAAGTGAACAGGCTCGGAACAGGAGTCAAGTGCTGTAGCTAAGTGACGTGGGCGTAGAGGGGATCGGCGGTGTCCAAACAACACTTCACCTTCTTCAGGTTGCTGAACAGATTTTCCGGATTTAATGATGAATCAAAAATAGGAAATAAATGTGAAAATAGGAGAGTTAAAAAAAAAAAAAGAAAATAGGAGAGTACTCGGAAGGCCTCTGAAATAAATCCCAGTCCATTAGAAACAGATGAAACAACCACGTGCAGCGATGAGAAAGAACATAAATCCCACCCCAAACCATGCTAGAGAGAAATCCAGCTATGTACAAGTAAAGAGTATTTGCCCAACAGTGTCCAGATAGCCTGGCTAACATCACAGTAATTATGCAGATTTTAAAGCTAATGAGCATAGCATTTTGCAAAGTACTCTGGAGGAGCAATTTAGACAAATGTGTGTAGGTGACAGTTAGTAGGGGTGTGTGTGTGTGTGTGTGTGTGTGTGTGTGTGGTGTGTGTGTACCTGTATGTGTGTGAGAGAGTGTG